AATGGAACAATTCAGAATTAGTAATCGTAAGTAATAGTGAATGTTTAACTAAATTATTAATAATTAATATACCAGATAGAAACTTTTATTTATGTGTTCTATACGTTCCAAGTTTAGTTATACTTTGTTTCTAGTATTTATACAATATATACAATAATATGCAATCAAAAAGAAGATGATTCCGCTCTGTTAAAAAATTCAACAAATTTAAATTATTGTACATAATTTAATACACGTATTTCAGTGTTTATAAATGATAAATTAATATTAAATATCGATTAAGCAATCATTAGATTAATAGAAACCAGGTAATATCCGTGAATTTAATATACAGGAAACCCTCGAATAACATGGTGCTTAAATTACATGGGGTCTCAAATGACACGGTCAAAAATTCCAGTAACCGGATTATTAGATAATTATATAATACTGTACTTCAATACACGGTTTTTTTTATCTATGGATGTGGAGTGTCCGAGAACGCGACTTTCAACAATACGGAACGAAATCATTGTATGATTTCTAATTGTAAGACTTGTATAAAACGGTTTTGAATAACCAATTAAATAATAATTTACCAACTATTGGTAAAAAATAAGTCACTCGTTTATTTAGTAAGCAAACAGTATAGCTTATTTAATACTAAATTTACGGAATGACTTAATTTGATTCATACTGAATTTTATAAGCATTATTTGGTAAATGTTTGGGTCGATTTTGATTGATGCAGATACGCAATTGTGTATCGCAATTGTCTACTTTTAAATCTCTAACTGCTAAAATCTAAATGAACGAATATCAATTTTTCTAAAGACGATATAACAAACTATACAATAAATGTCCGTAAAATTAGTGATAACTCTCTGCACTGGAAAGATTTTCAGTATCAATAATCACTGTTTTTTGATGAAGTATCGATAATATTTTTTACAACTTAATATAAAGAGAAATCATACGTAAATACAAAAATAAGGAAGGGACCTGTTTTATCTTAATATTCTATGAACTGAAACAGTATACAAAATTGAATAAAATATCAGCTGTATAATACAGCTGTATCAAGTCAAATGGCGACTCAGTGTCGCCTATTGAACGCAAAGGGTTCAAAAATAATAACAATCCCATAAATTGGTATCGAGTATAAAAAACGCCATATAAATAGAAGGACATTTATACCTAACTTAAAACTGAAACTACCGTACAGTCAAATTGACATTTCAAAATCGTTTCATAGAAACTCCAAGAGTGCATCTCTTAAGATTTCTATCAATTCACAATTCAGTTTGCGTATTGTTAAATAAATATCTCTAGTCATTTCCCAGAGACTAATTTGCTATATTTCCAATAATTGCAAAAGGAAGAAATCATGGATTATTTTGATCTGGTTCTAGTGTTAACACTAAAACTACCCAGCAATCACAGTGAGTTATTTCCAACTTTCTATAAAATTAAGTACTTCTACTTTAGTCTTCATAATTTAATACTTGCAAAATAAAAATGCTAAAGTGGATCAATTTGAAGTGGTTCAAATTTTTATAAAAATTAAAACAATACGTTTCTTGAGATTCGCAGGGTCTCCTACTATCGTATCTGAACAGTTCCACAAATTCAATTGAATATCTTTCGCAAAAATGCCTTCAAAATTTAAATACTTCCAAAAATAAAAATTCCAAAGTGGGTCAATTTAACCCACCCGGTAGTGTTAATGTTAAATACGTAAACATCCGCAGTCTGCTGCGATCTAAAGCTTCGATCGTATACTATACCGTCGCGTACACACTTGGGCGACGGTAGCAAACGCCAGAAAGCACCCGGCAGGGTCGAAAGAAGAATAAATGATCAAAGAGAATTTCCCCGGGAATGGATCGATGATCGATATCCTTACCTAGCATTTTGCCTGGAGACCTTGTCTCGTCGGAATTCCAGGAGCGCCTGCTGTAGCCTGGCGTTTAAGGTCGAGGCCAGCCTCCTGGCGGTGGACTCCTTGCTGCAGAGGGCGGCATGGCACCTGAGCTCGGGCCTCAACCTCCGCCCCTCGTGTCTGTAGACCCAGACGAACAGGCGCGGGTGGGAAGCGGGCGCTGTGCAATAAGTGACTCTGTGCGCCCAGTACTCCGTCAAGCCGTGGTCCTTCGTCGTCGCGGTCAAACCACCGTTCGTGACCGTCAGCCTCATCGACACGTCCGGCCTGTTGCTGGTAACGTAATTGCGCCATAAGGTCGACACCGGTTTCTCCACGCAGCCCTCACCTGCAATTTCAATCGGATGTTCTTGTCAGACCAACGGGATGAGGATCGTTTCTGTTGCGCACGGTGGAACGCCGGTTATCTGGACTAATTGGGAGACAAGCTTGGATAAGCGACTTTTCGGGTAACCGTCTGAAAGGAACAAATTTTTGGACATTGAATCGGGAATTGATCACTTGGGAGGTTTGAGAGTTGTTAGATGGTTTAACATGTTGACGCCAGCGTTGTAATTTTCAGGTCTGTTAAAATTATTGAAATTATGAGTAAGACAAATAATTGGTATAGTTGGGAATTAAGTTTCTTATTTTAAAAAATTGCCATTTTTTATTCAGAAAAATCTTATCCGAAAATTGTTGTGTATATGTATTATGAATTATCATAAATTATGAATAAGAAAATTAATTTTGAAATATATCAATTAATTTTCTTAGTAATAATTTATGATAATTCGTAATATATGAACATGGTCATTTTTTTCTATCAAACTAATTTAACGAACTACATATTTGATGGTACACACCGTCTGATGCGATATTCAAGTGTGAACCACCGGTGGTACACTCCCACGTCAACATATTAATGCAACAGAATTCTCACGTTTGATAATTAGTATTGAATGCATGACGTATTAATATATGAAATATTGAAGTAAAATAATCTTGTTCCGTGACTTTTGTATGATTTTTCTCTGTGCAAACAGTATCATTGACATTTCATCAGACAATGATGGAAATTTATCGTCAACAAGTTAACAAGTGCAAATGGTTAATCGTAGTTAGTACGTAATACAGACGTATACTATTTTCAAATGTACTTTCACTGTTTCTTATGTGTTTAATAATATTAGATTTATCCTCTAATTTCAGTACTGTTCTTTTTCTTCTATAGCAAATAAATTTGCATGCACGTTATAAACTCATTAGTAGATGCGACACAAAGAAGGAATACTTGTAAATACGTAATTTATAGGTATACTTATATAAATGAATCATTTATGTAATCGAATGTCGGATAATTAACGTTCTCGATAATTGGTGTTCGGATAATTAACGTATAATTTCGGATAATTTCATTGTATACGTTGAACGTACTTAGAGTTAACCCCTTCACGTTCAAAGTGTTACGCCATATTTTCCGCGTCAACCGTTTAGAACAATTTTCTATGTGGCGTTATTGACATCAGTAATTATTACATCTGTTTACATGGTAGTTATTATTTTTTTGTTTATACAATTAAGTCCTTTGTATTATTAACTTATACTTATTGTAATCTATACTAATTGTCAATTAATATTTCCATATGATACTAACACTATTATTATTACTATAATCATATTAATTATAAGAATAATGTGGTTAATAATCATAATTATTATTATTAGTATAATAATAATATAATATAATAGTATTATTAATGATTATTGTTATTATAACTACATTATTCAGATTTTAATTTTAATATTTATAGTTGTCTAATACTTCTTTAGAGTGCGATAGGCTATAAAATAGGTAATTTTAATTGCATTGCTCTCTAAAAACATCGAAATACATCTCCGGTCAATAACTTTCAAGTAATTAAAGGCTGCTATTGAAGCATGAATATTAGGACTGTCAAAAAGACTAACTATAATTGGTTTGTAGTTTTCTTATGCAAATTATAAGAGTGCATTTATCAAAATTTGATTGATTTATATTATAGTACGTGTATGAGTAAATTAATTTTATTAGTAATTCCTTAGGAAAGAATACTCATCTTTTCAGCAGCTGTAGAGAAAACAAATTGAAACGGATCATTTCGAAGATCGTCTCATGAATATTAAAATCAAATAATATGTGTACCATTAATTCAAAGATTTTCAGATAAAATCTGAATCGGTATCTGAATATATTTATTTCAGTATGTATCGCATAAAATCTAGTTCAGTTACTAATGTCATATATTAATTGCATGCTTGTATTCTGTAAATTACTCTTTATGGAATCATTTGAATAACTAATGTATGTAATTACTGAATAAATTACATGTTTTATACGTTAATCCTTATGTACACAACCGGAAACCCGTGTAGCCATTTTTGTTTCAAAGTAAAAATTGATTATGGTTTGTTTGGAATATTTAAAAATCCTTTTAGATACTCTTTCTTTGAACACTGTTGAGTCAACACACGTTTAATAAATAAAGATTCTTGTAACAATTAAAAAGTTATTTTTATTACTCTCCTTACGACCTATATGGCGGATGATAGAGGAAGCTTCAACAATTCGTTGTCATGTCACTCTAACATTATTACGATTTTATCACAGATGCTTTTGGAATTACAGATTTTTCTGACTACGTATTTAAAAAAACACAAGAAATTAATTTTATCTATTAAACATTTTTCATTAGAAGTATTCAAATAGACTGTTCATTACATAGTATTTTGTGTATTCGTCGGCGGTATAAATACGTAGAATCTAAAGTTAAATCATAATTATACATCTGTAACCGTATCGCGTATACTCGATCATTCTAATTGGTTTTCACTAAGGATAATGTCTTAATATTGTAGATACTGTGTTACCTATTCTAAGGGTAATAATCACGTTACTGTTATGGCGGGGTATTACTATTCAATGCTGCCATTGCACTATTATTTAGGATACCATCAGCGAGTAACAGTAATCGGGACAGACGGTACGTGTAAGTAGGTATATACACGAGTTTCAACGCTCGTTTCCGTGTACAATTACACACGGTACAATTGCACAGCATATAATAGCTATTACTTGTATTACATAGGTGGACACAAAATGGTTCCCTTCAGGGTTAAAGACGGGACGTGAATTACATTCATGTAAAGGATTATGTACATTGTACAAATGGCGCCGCAACGTAGAAATTATCCTGCAATAAATCCACGAAAGTTACGTTCGTATTAGATGTAGGAAACAGTTCGTCGCGAAGAATTTTAGTTTGATGATTTTTCTAGGCAGAAAGTCATAAATAACAATAGCAATTACATCGACGATTAAGCATTTATACATTATTTTAAATAAAGCATTGATTTTAATGTTAACTCGAGCAAATATTTTTACCACATCTAATATTTCATAATTTTTATAGATTCATTTTCGAAAATAGTGATGAGACGGTGCTGTTATTTTTTTGTGTGAGATAATTTAGAATGTTTCATAATAATGTGGGCTCGTTCAATGCGCTAGTACAGTGAAAACAGATATTGTCATTTTCAGAAAGGTCAACGCAATGTATGTTACATTCGAAGTTTTCTTTCGATATGTTTAAAATTGAAAAAAAAATATATTTTGAAGTATAAGTATTTATATCTTTTAGAAGTTTTATTTCATTACATCTATTCTATATTACAGAAAATATATGTAATATTATAATAAAACGAATCGATTGAATCGATCTGTTGAAAAAGTAATTTATTCTGATTATAAAGGAAACTAGTTAATATTACAAAAAGCTAATTACTCCTTCTTAATTTACGTTTTTAAGTATGTATAAAGTCGTGTTTGCAGTCCAATTTTGCGTATCACCAGTGTAATTTCAACAATGCCTCTCATTCTTTTATAGATTAATTTTTAAAGCAATAACACTATCATGTATGATAAGTAATTGTCTTTAAAAATGTGTTATATGTCCTTTAGCATGTTTATTGCATTTTCATGATTTCTCATGGTCACTGACAAGATAATAATATAGCTACCGATGATCTCTTTTTTATCATAAATGCTAATCCATGACCTACGTTATATCACACATCGAAGCTATTGATTGAACATATAAAATTGCAATTGTAATGGTTATAATTGTAAATACAAAAACTTGAATTACTTATTCATACACCACTTGTTACGTTACACGTCAATACTGTTCCTCGAGGTGAACGCTCAGAGAATGTTTCTTTAACATTTATAAACGACTTAGCTACTGTAAGAACGCTGATAATTGTAATAAAAGATATAAGTCACACCATTCGAATAGTTTTTATAATTTCAAAGCTTTTCTGGTTATAGAGTCGTGAAAAATTTAGGCACAGAATACCCAATAGCTTTCGAGCATTCAGTACCTTCAAAATTATTAAAACTTTCTCTTAAAACTTTCTCCAAGTTTCTTCAGGATTTCTGCAACTTTTAAAGTTTGCCAAAGCTATTGAATTTCATTAGCTTAACATTGACCCTGGAAACTTACAATTCTTTCGTGAAATTTGAAATTCGAGACACTGAATGTAGAAAGCATTCCAGTTGAAAACTTAATAAAATACGTTGCCAGTATCTTTATATAGATATTTTCAAAATCACCATTTTTTATTAAATACATGAAATAGATAAGAAAACGATAAAATGTTATACAATTATATTGAAAATTCACAATTCACTATAAGCCTATCAAATAATATTCAATAAAAAATCGAAAAATCAATTGAGGAAAAATGATTAAACTTTTAATCATCTAAAAAGGAATAAAATTATTTTCTAATTTTGAGTTAAAATTTTAAAAAATGTTTATGACACCTTAGGTAAAGATGGCATTAATTTTGTTATGGTTCTCAATTTATCTAAGAATTTCAAATATTCTTAAAAATAATAGTAACATATAATTTACATAGCAACAATTTTCTTATACCATTTTTAAATCCGAAGTATTTTTAACAAAATAACACGACTAAACCGACAAGAATTAAACGAACCAGACTGTCATAAAAATGAAAATATTGTTGGGTCAAAAGGGGCTCGAAAAATGTTACAGGGTTAACACGTTGACTGCAATGAGAATTCCTTCTGTACAATAACACATATTTTTTCATAACAAAGGTAAATGATATTAAATATTAAAAATAATTATTAATGATTTGGCGTCACAGTACTCATATCACACAATTATCTGTCTGTTTACGTTACCAAATATTTTCATTCGACATTAATTTTCTTACTGTAATTATTCCCAAATAATTTGGTAGTTCCGGTCATCACTGACCACCACGAAAGTCAACGTA